TTGATCTTAGAAAAATTCATGTTTTGATGCATTAAGATGACTTACAAAGTTTGGTGTTAAAGGGAGTAATTGTACATGTTTTTAAGGTTTATTGGACCTAATCTATCGATAAATGTTTATCTATGGATAGATACAATCCAGAAAAGGTTTATCAAAGCTGCCCTGAAGAACTTCTATGGATAGATGAGCAAATTTATCCATAGATGTCTAGATCTATCGATAGATGGCTCCCATTTATCGATAAATAGCCATCAGAAAGCTTCTAGAAAGGGTTCAAAAGCTCATCTATCAACATACAGCCCCGACCTATTGATAAATGACATTGTCTTCACAAAAATAAAAAGCTAAAAGTGTTTTTTCATTTCCTAAACTATAAGTATGACTTAATTCCTGAGGGTTTCTCAACCCTCAGTCATTTTTTTGAAAGGCAAAACCTCTTTAAAACTCTTCAACTAATTTTTAATGAAAAATTATTGTTTTTGATGATTTTCATCTTAGTTTTAAAGTTTAAAGCTAAAAATGATATTTTTATGTTATAAAACCTTTAAAGCTCCCACTTTTAAAACTTGAAATTTATTATCTTTGTCCAAAAATTTCTACTGAGGATTAAAGCTAATATTTTATGATTTCTTTCAACATCTAAGCACATCTAAGGTAAGTTTAGAGGATTTATGTATTTCTAGCTTAATTTAGAGAGAAAAAGTGACTATAGTCAAAAGTGAATAGATATTGAAAGTTGCTAGATTAATTATTTTGAGTTTCTTAGTTTAGAAATTGATTGTTATGAATATTGTGTGATAGGAACACTTGAAAACACACCGAATTACAAGAAATTAGAGTTGTAATCGAGCTTCCTATAAGGTGAGTGGATACATCACTTTCAAAACTATTTTGATATGTAAAGTTGAAGCATAATTTGTGGTTTATTGGTGAATATGATTTTTTACAAATGTTTATAAACTAAAAATCTATTTGTGAATGAGGAAAATATTTTAAAAATTATTTTCAACCTCCTATGTATGTAAATATGATACCATGTATTAGCTCCCAACAAGGGGGGACAAGCACCTTATGTTTGAGTCCACTCGATTACTTTGGTCTTCGGACTAGTGTGGGTACGAGATATGATTTATGATTAATGCATAAATGTATGAAGTGTATACTAGATATGTTAGGGCATGAAATGTGTGATGGCTTGTATGAAGATTTACATCTAAGATATTATGTTTATGTAAATGATGTATTTTCCATACACTACATGAGATGTTTGAGGAAGCATGATAAATGCTATGAGATTATGTGTGTACTGCATATTTTACATACAATATGATGAAAGAGTAAGCATGAGGAAATGCCATCAAATGTGTATATGATATGAAATTTCATATACCTTATGAGATGAATAAGCATGTATGTGATGGACATTCCACATACTAAATGCTATGAACACAAAAGTTTAATGACTATGATTAATTCCACTCACATGGGGTGTAGTAACGACTTCACTCCTATAATGCATTATAAATGCCCAAAATGCAATGGGGTTGTACATTGTCGGCCCAAGGTTGATAAGGGTTCTACTATCATAATGTGTGAGTTTAATATTAATGGAATGATTATTGTAACACCCCGTACCCTCGTATAGAAGCCCATAAGACCTTATCATTATGACTGAGAGTCAATTGACGTAAATTTAAGTGCTAAAGAGCGGTGATGGATGAAAAGAATATTTTTAGAATAAAATATTTCGTATGTGATAAAATAATAATTAAATAATAACATTATTATCAAAGATGAATTAGCATGTTAAAAAGGTGATTTGGAAGTGAGCCGGGGCAGAGTGAGACACTTTGGGACCCGAGGAGATAAGTGGAGAATTTTAGAATAAAATAATATTTTTATTAATAAAATAATATTAAAATATTAATATTTTAATT